GGGACAACACAGCGGGTGAGTTAGCCTAGAGCCAGCGGAGCTGTCAACATCGCTAGCGCTAGAGAAAGAAACCTGATTCGATTTTTGATGAAGTAAGACCTAGAGGTCATTTTGAACAAAATCATCATCAGGAGATATAACAAAAGGAATAAACGGAACACCAAACTCATAGATTAGGCTTACTTTATTATTTCCGATGAATTTATTACTGGATCCCTTATAACGAGAATCCGGCTATAACGGGCATTTCGCACCAGTCCCCTCCCTCACATTATAGCAGGATTCTATTGTACCTGAATCCAGTTTTCTTCCTACCCTACAGTTTGCTCATTTTGATTGGGTTCTCAAACACACAAATACTCACACACAAACACACGCACAAACACACACACACACACTCACCATTTTGTGTCCTGAATGATTCTAGGACAATATCTAGCGGTTTTTATTTTTACCATATAATACATATTCTACTTTAATGATTTCAAAATGTCAGGGGTTTTTTTAGGTTATAATATAAAAGTTTGGTCAATCTTTGAACTGAGACATTCTCACTATAAGTTCTGAGTCATTATCATGATATTCAAAGAATTGCATTCGAAAGACCATGACATTCTGTGAAACTCAAAATCTTTACTTTCAAATTTCTCAGAACTAGATAATGAGCAGATAGAACTTTGTAATTCTTGGGTAGTGATTTAGGACAAGTTCAAGATTACATTACAATTACAGTTCTCCATGTCACATTTCATTTCCAAATTACAAAATGATAGGAGTTTTGATAGAGGAAAAGAAATGATTGACTTACTTTTCTTGTGAGTCAAGATGCACAGCAAATATTCATTGATTGAGAGGTGTACCCTTATTCTCCTCTCTTTCCTTTTGGCGTTTTCTTTCAAAGGTCAGTGTGATCCATTCATGTGGAGGATGTGACTGGAGGACTCTGCTTCCCTTCAGTGTAGTTAAATAAAGGGCCAAGATTATTCAGCTCGAGGTCCATGTACATGTCATGACAGTACAGGTGTTTTAAAAAGCAACATGGTGGAAAACTCAGAAAATCATAGAATGTCCTATGACAATATTAGTTATATTTCTATTATAGAAATAAGAAAAAAATTGAAAGGATGACATGAGAATTTGGATCCAATGACTTACCTGGGATCTTCTCCCGAAGTTACTAATATCTTAGTAAAATTATGTTTAATTCTAATTAGTTGCCTAATGATTTATTTGTTCTTTGTTTGCAAAAATATACTGACTGTCTATGATTAAATCTGTACTGCCTTTATTAAAAAATGCCAAAAGAAGGGAGGGGGCATCAATACATCACGAAATTTCTTTTTTCTCATAGTTCTGTAATCATGGTGAGAAAAACCTGCTACCTTGACAGCTGTTTCTTTTAGTTTGGAACTGTATGTAGATCTATACGGGTAATTTTTTTTACCTGGATTGAATTTGAATATAAATCTGCCTCTCGTGGGTCATGTGATGGATTGAATCTTGAGCTGTTTTCAGTTTCTCTTCCTGGGTGAACCAACTTGTGCTGAGCAATGTTTCCTTTCCTTTCTCAGAGGGGCAAATATGATAGGGTAATCTACCTCCAAAATTTCTTGGGGGAGGGGGGGGGGATTTGTATCATAACTATTATAACACTCTTTTCTTTGTGGAAGTTTCTGAAGAAAACTGAATCTCTTTCATTATTTAGTTTGTAAAATTTTCTGACAGTGCAGCATGTGGCGTACTTAAAAAGAAACACCTGCGTTAGTTCTATTGAATGAATAAAAACTGTGCCTTGAGATTTGCACACATACATTTATACTTGTATTTTTTAATGTCTTTCTTGAAGGTGCTTTCTCCTTCACTGATTTGACCATGATTGTGTCCATGTGCTTTTTCCTCCATCATTTGTTCATATTGAACTACGTATCATATATGACTGAAGTAGATAGTTCAGATAGCATCCTGGCCTTTACATCAATGAAATGTCCAGTGCGAGAAACATGGAAATTATGTTCTATTACTATAATTGTTGTTATCGCTCTTTTCTAATGTAATGCAAAGTAGAAAATGCCATCTGGTTTTAAGTTTCCAGCTTCTTGTACTCTGTGTTTCATGAATTGGGAGCTTTATGCTTGTTATGGGCTCAGTGTTGGTATCCATTTCAGTCTTGGAAAAGGTGCCACACCAGGTTACATTCCCATCATCGCTGTGGTGTAGTCGAGGTGTTTCTTAGTTCAACATGTATGGTGATAAGACATCTACCTGCTTCACATTTGGGTGAGAAGCCCATTTTTATATTATATTCACTAGTTCCAAGACATCCAGATGCTACGTGCCAGTGTAAGGACACAGTGTGCTGGACAGGTGTTTAAAATAGAACATTTTTACTGCAGGTTTTTCACTAAACAATTTTCTTTCCTCAGCATTGTTAAGAAAGAGTCCATGCTGCCTTACTTTTACTTTTATATTGCTTTAACTTAAAAGTAAGAAAAGAATGGAGCCAGGCTCCAGTGAATGGTGAGAAAGACCCTACAGTTTGAACTCTTATTCAGGTATTAAGTAACTGTCAACCCTATCTGTACGTCGTGTTTTACTATTGTCCATACGGCGTGGGGAACTCTGTGCCACCACTTTCCAAAGAGGAAATTTACTCGTTAATCTGATCCGTAGGCTTTGCATAGCAGTCTGTTAAAATGATTTTTTGAGAAATACTGAAAATTTCATAGAGATCTTTGTACTAGAAGTATTCTAAAATGTGAAAAATACAACCCCGGGGGTACAAAATGACCTCAGGGCGTACGGATAAGGTTAAGTAGTACTGTACTAGAAAGCTTTGAAGTTAATGAATCCTTCACTAATGAAGTATAATGTACATTAATATATGTTAGACCTTCCACTTCTTTATCTTTCGTTTTTTCTTCTTTATTGGACACAAAAGGCTTGCATTTAAATTTTGACTCTGTTCAATGACCTTCCTCTACAAATACAAATGTATTTTGTATAAGATTTGTCGCCATTTGTTGTCTGTGTTGTGGCTAGTTATTGACTGTGGTTTGAGTTGAAAGAGTTCTGTGGCTTAGGCTGTGATTAAAGTTCATATTTTGTCAAAAATTATCGCCTTTATTTATTCTTTGGTCATTGCCTTTATTTACTCTTTGTTCATATACTCTAAGATATGGGTGGACAAGTGGTCCAAAATTAATAAACAGGGAGGGGGTGGGGGCTGGCTCATTCGACCTCATACCCCTGTGGACTAGTAGGAACAAATCTGTTTTATTTCTCCTTCAGTGAATACAAGAACAAGAGATCTTGAAATTTTAATGATTTTGTAAGGTACTGTGATAACTTTTCCCATTTAGGAACAAACCAGTTTCATTAAAAAATATAAACCAATGTACAAAAGTTTTTAAAATGCACAAAATTAAGGTAGCCAACCCGGTACCGGTACCTGCAATACTGAGGGTAATTTGCCATTGACACAAAAAAAAGGAGTTTCCTTCAGATATCTAGATTTTAGATATAATGCTTCACATGATCGTCAGTCGTGGCAAGCTGGAAAATAATATCGGGGGTATGGAATAAGTAGTGGGGAGTGCACAAAAAAACTGATAACTAGTAAGCGAGGGGAGGACGCTCATCCGATACCTTAGAGTTAGAGTAGCATCTTTCTATCTATCAAAATAAAAGAAGTAGTGGAACTTGTACAAGTTTCTTTTTTTTTCTTCTGGTTGGCTGGTTTCATATCTCAAAGAAAAACTAACACTAACAGTGTGTCCTTAAAAATTGTGTAGTTTCCTACTGAGACATTCAGACATGAACCTTCCCTATCAGGTAGGCTACTTTTCCCTTGCAAGTCAAGAAATAATTGTTAGAGTGTTGGTTTTCCCAAATGGAAATAGGTCAAGATCAAGTTGATGCCCCTATGAAAAACACATTGATACAAAACTCAAGATGGGTACAGGTATTTTTAAGGGTTGCTTAGCATCGATATACAGAGGTGATGTAGAAATGCTCTAGATGTCTGTGTTGGTTCCCAACTCAAGTTGCAATATATCCATCCCTCAATCGTCTTAAGGCTTGACTTAATTTTTATTGAAGTAAAATTTCTAACTGAGCACAATGTCAGCTATTTCCAAGTTCATTGACACACTTTTTTTTTAGATAGAGAGATTTCGCACAGTGGGCTTAAATCCGTCCAACATGATTACATATTTTAATATTTTACAAAGTGATGTCCAAGGTGATGAAAGGGTTTTACCAAAGCACTGTTATTTTGTAGTGTTAAAAATATTACTGTGTGCTCAGTTTGCCAGGATGGAAGACAGCGATGTTTATTCTGCAGTTTGAAGAGATTGGACTGGGTGGTGGAGGACATCTCTGGTTGGTCCTGGTTCTTTTTCTCTGATGTTCCTGTCTTGCTTTTCCTACACTAAATGACTGATATTGTAATAATAATATTAATAATAATAATTGCATGTTTATATACACATATCCACACACTACAGCATGCTCTATGCGCTTTACACCTATTATTGTTACCCTAGTAGACCCTAGGACACTCAAAATCATTCTCAGCTTCTTGGGAAACATACAGTGCAAGCTGGGGATTTCACATATCAAAAAACTGTAACGAACTGACAGGATTTTTCGCAGTGTATAGCAAGGTAATTTTTTGCATATCAGGACTTGAATAATCACATTTCAAAATTTTAGGATGTGCACAACTACATTTGAAAATAAAATTACCATGAGTAGGCTACTTTGGCCTTACTTTGGTATGTACTGTATGTTTTCTTTCACAAAACGAAGGATGTTTTCAGTACAATTAAAGAGAATCATGATGAAGTGAAAAAAAAATCCTGTGTGAGATGTGTGTATATTTTATATTGTAGAGACATTGTTTAAGTTATTCCCACCTGCACCCGCATTTCTTACAAAAGTGTTATGTCCAGCAATTCTTCATGGCAAAAGCCTAAACACATAACATGAAGAAAACAGACTTTGATTTTGGCAATTGAAATAACTCATTTTATTTCAAAATATTTCAATTATACTGTGTTCATAAAAGTGAACATCCACAATACCCATAGAGATCCAGGAGTGAAAACAAACGGCATTGATATGCCAGAACATATTTTGTCAGCAATATATCACTCTCAGGGCTTCTTATCACTATTCTGCAATTTGCAATAAGGTACTCCATTCATGTAAAGAGAGAGTTAATGAACAGATTTTAATTAAAAACATTACTTGTAAAACAAATTCATATCAACTATTCACTCTCAACATAAAGATCATAAATACGTACTGTGAAAAAAGGTCACTAGTGTAATTAATAACTGCAGTCAAAATAACAGAGCCTTTTTTTCCTCATTTGTTATAAATTATCCGGCATTTTAATACTGCTAACAAACATTTCTCTTTCCATGGTAAACAGAATGGTTTTACACAAAGAATAAAGTACATTAGAAGGAGTTTGCAACAAAACCGTTTTTAAAGACAATGTTTCAAGTACCCCAGGGGATATAAACTAGACTGTAAGTTAAGAGGAAAAGTGAAGAACACAGGGAGAAACTAATAAGGAATCAGGAAAAAAGGTAATAAATACGACTTTGTTTTTCACAAAATTCATTGTGTTGACAGCAATGGCAAACGCCCCAAATAAAATGAATGATTTTACAAATTGTTGTCAGCTGATGTCATGATTAATTGAGTAATCAACTCGTGAGGATGTGCACACCCAGAATAGGCTGTTGTAATTGATTGGTATACCTTGTATCATGTTGTATTATGAAACGTGATGGTCTTGATGATACCTGCTTGCTAGAAGCACTTGGGAGAATAGGCATATTGTTTATTACAAATTTTTGCTACAATTTGCTACAATAAATTTGTCTTTGGCAATTGATTTTGACATCAGCATGACTTAGATTTATGTATAAACTAAACATTACCTCTACAAATTACATGATATGTCAAATAGGTGTTGGGGGCTGGTTTCTAAAAAGTAGGCCTACCTTAAAAACTAAAAAGTAACAACAAAGATAGACAGACAATCTGATCATGATAAACATATCACAGTTTGTTAAAAATGATATCGATATCAAAATAGGCCTATATGTTGATCACAATAAGCTCGCTCAGCCAAGTTTCGTGAATTACGAGCGTTCTTTGAGACAGCAGCACAACCTTAAAATCATATTATCAAACAAAGTGTTGCTTCTAATGCTCTAAAACTCTGCAGCTAAAAAGGTGGATCAAGCTTATCTTGAACTAGAAGAAAGTAGGCCACATAAAAAACAACCTGTTGCCCTGTGTGTTGAGAAACCTATTGTCAACTCCGCCTGAGATCTAGCAAGAGAACATATATATAATAAAGACAAAATAGAAGATCTCAGCTCCAATAAAATTTCACAAGTTAACCCTTAAAAGACCATGGTTGTTATTGTTATGCTCAACTGGTAAACAGTGCAGTATAATGTGATGTGCACGTGCAATCAGCTGATGGCAGGAGGCCCACTGTTTTTTTTCACCTTCCAACAATATTTATCTAACTGGAATTGAACATGAGTGCTATGGATATCAGGACATAAGATATATAAATGTACCTGTATTTTAAAAAATCATTTCCGAGTAGCAGGAATGCATGTACAAATGAAAGCACTGGGTTTTTTTCTGTATTACTGGAATTTTTTTTTTTTACTCAAGATACTCTAAAGGTAGGAATCACCAGCAGAGCAACCTAGAAAGTAAGTATCATTCACGTAAAGTGCATTCTTATTCTCCTCAAACATCTTCCATTTTGTTTCTCCACAACTGTAGCATTATTATTTTTTACTGTCGTTTGAGTGTAGTGCATTTTATCACACAACATTTCCGATGCTGTAACTCACTGGCAGTTTAAAATTTATGTTATTTTAACTTTGAAAAAATTGACCAAAAATTTCTTCCCCAGTACAGTCAAGCTATTAACTTCAAAGAAAATTAGCAACATATCAAAATTCAAAGACGAAACATCCAGATTTCACAATGTACTAATTCAAATAGAATATTAGCTCAAAACAAAAAATAACCTAGCCATGTAAAAATGCATTGTGAATTCATTCTTATGTAAAAACCATCTGGCCCAATGGTCTTTTACACATATAAATTATACAGAGCACAATATACAAAAGTGATCACATCACCTGATAGGACAATCTGCTCATCTTGTTGTAACATTAACAAGAAACAGTTTCAACAGCAATCGGCAAATATATATATATGCTAATACAGTTAGCTGAGAAACTGTGCACCTCTAACTTGATAAAACCTAAGCATCATCATGAGTATGAGCCACATCATGCAATGTATAAAAAGTTGACCTTAAGGCTGGTCCCAGAGTGGCTCTGTAAGTCTGACATTTAGCTTGCCAAGCACACGCCGTCTATGTGTCACCATAGCCGCACTGTGCGTTGGCTTCTATGTCTGAGTGAGTGCCCTCTGTGTATCAGCACAGCCGCACTAGGCTAAAACTAAAAGCACACAGGCCTACGAATGTAAACAAACAGTCAAAACTAGGTCAACCTCTTGATTCGAAATTTTAATGTAGGATAAAGTGCATTTCTTGGGATTCTGTGGTCAAGTGTTGAAGCTAGCATCAATATCTTATAGTAAAGCACCTAATAATACTTACTTCTTGCTGACTTTGATGATCTATGAAGAATTTCAGTCGAAAATGAACACAAAGCGAGGCTGCGAGTGACACATGTCCATTGTGTTTTTACAACACTGTTGAATAGCACGTCTGACACGTCCCGCAGCTCAGCGGACAACGGACAGATCATACAGTGACGCTGCTCAGCCACACGATAATGTATACGTTCATTTGCATGGTACGAGCTAGGCGAGCTACAGATCAGACCTACAGAGCCACTCTGGGACCAGCCTAACTCATAAAATTCTCAGAGATTACTTCCCTGTGAAACTAAGACAAATATAACAAATGAATGGCGTTCTTGATTTCATTTTCATGGAAATAGGTAAGAGCACCATAATTGTAAATGAAATTATGGCAAGAACTAAATACAAACTTATGGGTTAGCTGACATTTTATGGCATCTAAAATATAAAAAAATAAAAACAACAATGCTTGAAACCAGTCTTGGTGACAATTTATGCTATAATTTTGTGCCCTTGCACATATGAGCAGGTTGGGGATCAGAACTCAAGTATATTTGTATATATATATATATATATATATATATATATATATATACAAGAAAGGGCCAATTAACTCGTTTTCAAACTTAAATCAGCATTTAAAACAAGCTGAAAATCCATAATTCTTAAATAAAAACATGTTTATGTCAACTGGTACTCGTTCTGAGTTTTACTGTTACCATGTTCATGGTATGTCTATTTGGATGTCAGATTATTTTGCGTAGAAACACTGCTGTGAGACTCAGACACTGACATCTGGACAGAAGAAGTGACAGAGCTGCTTTGACTAACACTGTTGTTGCAACGGAACTGGGAAATCTGGTCTTGTAGGGATGCTATGGCCGACATCTTTTGGTGAAGAATGTCACTGACACGCCTCAAGTAGTCATCAAAACCCTGTAACACGGTAATAGGAATTTGCTAGGAAATCCAATAATTCATTTCCATTCATAAAACTACAGTAAATAGGTATACATTGGTAGGTGTATATTCCACCCAGTGCACAGTAGTGAAATATTTTAAAATATATATATATATATATATGCAGGAAAACAAATTAAGGAAGTCATTAAAACTTTATAATGCTGATACAATCCTCAATGTTTACCCTTTTATTCTAAAGTACTCCTTTATCAATTAATGACATAGATGCCAACAAAACTTTTCAATGGTTTCAAAATTTTCAAAATTACTGAGACTGAGTGCTGACATCTGTTGAAGAAAATAATCTTTTTCTTGCTTTATTTAATTAATTGAAATATGTTCTTATTCAGTACAATCCTGCACTCAAATATAACAATAAACTTAATTCCCAAGAAAAAAAATCACAATGGGAATAGAAACAGCCAGCCCATACCTTTTTTCCAGATACTTTCTTTGCATTAAGGAGCAGGCGCATCTCATATTTACACAATGATGTGATGGTAGCAAGCTGATCTTCATGTGCAGATACAAGATGCATCCTGTAATCAAAATATTTTAGTTTCTGAGGGGCAACAACAATAATAATAGTCACAGTTTTGATCAAAACTGATGAGGAGGAAGAAATCAGCAAAAGAATAGGGACCATGTGCGGTTACTCCATCTACCAAAACATTTGATCTCTGTGGGTTTTTTTTGAAAAACTTAAAGAAGCCCCTTTAAAGTGGAGTAGAACAGCACATATGAATATCAAAGATTAGACAATCTTGTGTTTTATATCCCTTAGGGGTATTGTGTCCACTTTCGGTCTTTTCTACTTTTTATTTCTTCAATCTTAATAACTGTGCCATGTTCTTTCTCTTGAAGGAACCTATATTTGTCTTGTAGCGTGTTTGGCATCTACATCTCAATCTCTTTTTCTCTAAAGTTAAAATGGAAGAGATGCACATATTTGGCATACAAACAGTAATTCCCTCTTTCGCTCTTTCCCATATTTATTGAACCAATAAAATCTTTTTCTCAGTAGCATGTCCCTTTTAATCCAGTTGCAGTAGAACCACTGTATCTTCCATGAGGTACTAAAATGGTATTGTGGAAAGAACCGGTGAGTAAGGAGAGTTGCAGTTTTTAATAGTCTTTTTTTCTTTTTGAATGATTGCAGCACCCTACTTAGAGGCAACAGGTTATTTTGAAGGCACAGTACTTAGCCCTATAGAAAGGGGAACAGACAGATGTGACGGTTCAAAATTTACCACAATAAAAAATGTCACACATGCAAGTCGGAGCACCATCGCTCATAAGAGTGATTTAAAACTCATGCTGATGTAACGCAGAGAGTCAATTTGTCATATCTCAGAACATGGGACAAGGCTACGGCAAAGCACAGCAGGCCTTTTTTAGAGGGCTACAAGAAAATAAAACATTGCTTTCACTCTAACACTTACCGAGCCTCTTGCAATTCGTTGATAGCAGAACCATCCCTGGAGACGGAATCTGCAACACAACTCACTCCTGACAGAGTGGTTGCAGTGACCGGGGTTGGCTGCAGTAGAAGTGAAGAAGCCACCGAAGGTTCCACAACCATTTTTGTCCCCACGCTGGTCACAGGTTGTGGGTGGATGGGAGAGAACACAGATCCTGATGCCAGTTTTTCCGTCACAATAGCAGGGCTGGAAAGAACAGTGCATCTATTCACAAACCACTACCAGATATTGAATATTAGGGTAACAAAACCGAAAGGGAAGAAAGGAGCAAGAGTAAATGAGAGAAGAAAGGAGAGAAAGAGAAGGAAAGGAGGTGGGGGTGGGGGGCAGCTAAGCTATTGTCAATGAAAAAGAGATTTTAAATGTTATTGTACATCCTTGACCAGAACAAATTTCTTATAGTGAGCTTGAAAGATACTTTCATTGCTATTGCGTCAGATCGTGATACAAAGTCAGTTTTCCTAAACCCAAAAGAAAAATTTACTAGCTGTACTAAAATGTCAGCACCAGTAGTTGAGATGAAATGTTATGCTGACATCATCACGGAACAGCAATCCTTTATTATGATAAAATATTGCTGTACAGTCACGGTGCCAAAGTGAAATTTCATCTCAATCTTTGGACTCATTGATAGATGAAACATTGAAAGGCTGATTGGCAGGGGACTTTAATGGCCAGGTGGAGAGTGGATTCTTTTCAGACAAAATTGTTAAGCAAAATCAAGTGACAACAATAACTAAAAGAGAGGACAGTGGGGTATGTTCTTAAGCAAAACATTTAAAATGAAAGTTTAAAAAGGGCAATGCGCTGCAGCTACCAGAAATAGCAGGCTTGGACACATGAACCATTTTGTTCATCTGTTGTGTCGTTGGTATTAACAAAAGTATAATCAGAATGACATTAAACATGCCACTGTAAGTAAGTAAAAAGGATAAAAACATTTTGAGATACAATTTGGATTTATGTAAAGGGCCCAGAGCTGTGTGCACACAGAAGTAGGCAACACAAAAATTATCTTCATTAATATTAATATTATCATTTAGTATTATCAATTTAAATCCTGAAAACATTCAATAGAAGGCTAGAAAAAGGCACATGTGCATTGCTGTACAACTCTTATTCGTACTTGATTCTGATGTTTATCTCAGGTTTTCTATATTCCTCATTGTCTTCCTGAATTCCCTCAAACTTCTGGGTGTATGCAGAAGCAGCATAATTCTTATCCCCGCCTACTGCAGTCAGGGGCGTCTGAGGCAGTTGCTTGGCCTTAGTCCCTAGGCTGACCAGTGGAGAGTTGTCTCGGACAGTCCTGACACTGCTTTGTTTGCCGACCAGGCCCCCATAGCCATCATCACTAAGATGTCCCGCCACACCAACCGATGCTTGATCCTCGGGGCCAATGTTGGCAGCAGCAGCCAGTGAGCCTGGTTCACTGTGACACTCTACCTCCTCGACCACCTCCTGAGGATGGCCTCTTGCCCTGTGGTGAGTGGGCAGCTCACTGTGAATCACTTTCCACCCACTAGTGCCCTGAGTCAGTCCAGATTTCGGAGTGTTGCTACGTGTGAGCATTCTGGAGAGGAAAATACAATGGATAAAAATAGACACAAAATGCTAATCAATTAGTGATTCAGTTCTTGTCTCTCTGTCTCTCTCTCTCTCTCTGTCTCTCTCTCTCTCTGTCTATCTCTCTCTCTCTCTTCATCTCTCTCTCCCTCTCTCTCTATCTCTCTTTTTTATCTCTCTCACTCCATCCCGTCTCTCTCTTACTTCCCTCCCCTCATCTCTTTCTATCTCTCTCTTTTCTTTTCAAAAGAAGTCTTGGGGTGTCATTCATCAATCCTACTTGTCTATTATCTCACCCTTATGCTGCTCTCAACCTTTTTGTGCACAGAACAACTACCCAATATAGAAAGAGTGTGTTTCCCTTTTCTTTTTGCCTCAATGTGTATCTTTAAGACCAACTTCTTTCACACCTCCTTATCAATTTGTTCTTTCTATATTTGATAAAAGGGAAAGGCGCACCTCCATCATCCTCACAACAGGTACAAGGTTATGTAATAACAAAACAAGGAAACGGCCAGAATATTTTTTTTACTTGGTAATGTTTTCTGGATCAGGCAAAGTGTGTTTCTTTCTTTGCATGTTCAGAGCCAGTATGGGGTCGCTCCGCTCTTTCCTCATGCGTCCTTTCACTGAGTCCGTTTTTCTGTAACCGCCTTGACCTTGATCTGACAAGGATGCTCTGATGCTGTCTGTAGAATCATCGCTCACTTCACCTGAAACATTTCATTGTGAAATGCTGCAATAAATTGATTAAATAATGCAATTCCCAACGCACTTTCTTCGAAGACATACATGCACATTTACCTCCCCCCCCCCACACACACACACACACACACACACACACACACACACACACACACACAAACATGCATGTTCATACACACACAACAATCTGATACAGCTCTAGAAATTGGCAAATTCTAAAGACTAAAAAAATGAGTATATTTCAGGCTAAATCGAGACCTACAGAAAAAAATATTCAAACTCACGTTACCTTCATTCAATTCAAAGTTGAGTTTTAACTTGTTACTGAAACTAACTGATAGCTGTACCTATTTACCTGTAGGAGAGTGAGATCCCCTGCGTCGACGTCGCTTTGAGTCTGAATCATCAGAGTGTCTCCTCACTTTAGGACTCTGAGAACCTGAGTCTGAGTGTATAGAAGTTGCTTGAGGAGATGCAACAATATCAGACTTCTCGTGAGATGATGGTGAATCAAAGATACCTTTGAGGTCTTGAGACGGAGAGGGAGAAGACTTCCCCTTGGTCTGGGGTTGTTGTTGCGAAGGTGGTGAGATATCTGACACAGTCAAAGCTGCCTGATTCTGCTGTCCACTTGCATGCAGTGGTGGGGAGGGCAGTGGGCGGCCACCCTGGGGCTTTGTTTTAACACCAGGAGATTTTGACCTTACCGATGGCTGAGACCCTGGTGTAGACTTGTGTCTGTCAATGCCAACTGCCTGATCTGTGAGCAGCTTGTGCCCAACTGTGTGTTTACCTGACAAATCATTTGTACCCGGAGCATTGAGCGTCTGTCTTTGAGTAAACTTGGTGAGGTCACTACTTTCAGCTGGCTGTGGCACCATGAGTTGAGGCCTCATTAACGCTGCTGTAGTGGACAGTACATGGGACAGATTTGACGCAGGTTTGGTCGGAGTATTTGTTCCTCTACCTTCAGATAAAGGTCCATCGGCAAACATTTCCTCATCATCTACACTGTCGTCACTACTCACTACTTCCTTCATAAATGCTTTCTTGAAACTGGGGTTCTGTTTTGACTGCAAAGGAGGTGTCACATCAGCTGACTGAAATCTCTGGGTGACTTCAGGGACAGCAGGTTTACCAGCTGAAGTTTTCACATTGCCAGCTAATGTACCTGAAATTTTAACACTGCTAGCTTGTGTGTCTGAAGAAGTATACACAACTGGTTTCGTGACGGGAGGCTGAACAACACTGAATGATGAGGTCACTGCAACATTTTCAGCTGTGGCAGCTGATGGTAATGCAGTTTTGTTCTGTGTTTTTCTGGATTCTGCAAGTTGTTCCCCTACTTTGTTAGGATCTGTGCGATTTAAGTCGTTGAAATCATCTACATTGTTAAAATCTGAAGTTGGAAAATCAAACTCTGTATCTGTGGACTGAGCGACTGGAAGTTGTCTTCCTCTGGGTCGTGAGGTGAGAGTATACGTGGGGTTTGTGACATTACATGAATCTGTGTCTGTGTGATCAGACTCACTAGGAGATGCGTCTGGGGGGGGAACAACGGAACCTTGAGAAGCAGCTGTGTCTACCGAACGAGAACGTGACGGAGCACTGCTTGGGACTGGTTTTAACACAGATGCTGCTGCACTGGGCTGATCTGAGCGAACTTTGGTGGACGCCTGCTGGGACTGTCCAACAGTGTTGTTACGATTTGACCTCGAGTTGTCTTTAGCAAAATTTGACCGTCTGGGCATGTTATGGCCTCTGATTGGAGTTTCAGAGGGATCCAGGTCTATCTCAGATGGCTCATTTAATCTTTCTCGCCTTGACTGTGTAGACTGTCTCATGGGTGTTGAACTAGACAAGATGTTGGAAGGATGGAATATCGTAGGGGCTGTCGGGGGTATGTTCATCAACAGATTCATGGCTTGCCCAACTGTACTGCTGCCCCGAACAGAGTCTCGTTTCAGCTCTTTCACCCTGTAAAGAGAGTGATCACGTTTGTTCAAATTACAGTTTAACAAAAAAATATATATATTTGATTACCTTTGACAATAAACTAAAGAGGACAAAAATTTAGGACTTCCCTCAAAAGAAAAAGCTGTTATTACTTCAAGTGCTTTACTTGTGAAAACAGCATTGTGTTTGAATCTGACCTTTCTTGCATTCATTTGAGCCTGAAAACTGGGATGTCTTAATGACTCTCCAAAGGGTGACTTTATTTAAGGGGTCATTACTTTCATGAAGAGTTAAAAAAGACGTCCTCTACATTCCAGAAACTGACACCCCCCCCCCCCCCCCCCCCCCCCCCCCCCCCACCCCTTCTTACCACAAAAATAAATGTCCTATGCCATCAAACTAGACATATCAAAGGTTTCTAAAAGATCCAACATTTACCAGGAAAATAATTTAGTTTACTAGAACAGGTATTCTTCCAACACACAAGTAATCATCACCACTTCTTCAGAACAAGAATAATTCAAAAGAATAAAATATAGTACCTGTCTGCGTAGCGCAGGGTATTCAACGTATTTTCACAAGCTGTTTGCGTAGGTGAGATATTTGCAATCATACAAGTGCGTGAGTTTCCAATAAAAGAATCCTTCAGGATGTGGGTTAGCTTGCTTTGACGGAAAGGGGTGTGCCTGCTGTCTTGATCAATAGATCGAATGCACTCTTTTAACTGAAAAGAGAAAACATATTCAAATACATAAAGCATCACAGCAAGGCACAAAGTTAGGAGAACTATAATAAGTTATGAAAAAAAAAGGAAAAAGAGGGGTGTAATCTGAAGCAAAGAAATTCCAAAGTCTTTGCATTATAGAGCATACAAACAGAAGTCACAATCAAATTCTGGATTTGTAATACAGTCTTTTTGGAAAGCATATTATTCTTTAAAAATGTACTGATACTGTGCTCTCCTAAGTATGCTTGGTAAAATTTGTATTAAAATTAGGGAAGCCAAACATCAAAATGATTGCACAAATCTGATTTAATCCTCAATTCCATGTTATGTGGTAAAATAAATAATGTCATAAGATAAACAAGGTACTGTGCTTTAAATAACTCAACATACTACCATTAAATTTTCAAAATTCAAAGAAATGAAGATTTTGTCAACCAAAAACAAAGTCACGGAGTCCACAAAAATTTGACAACAGTTAGGTCTACTGTCATTGGGATTATCTTGCTGAAATACATTAACGTCTGGATACAGACTTCAAACAGTTGATTCCAACTCACAGCCAGCAAACTTTGATTGATTTCAGCTCCTTCTAGACGTGTTTGCTTGTCTGTGTCTGTTACATCTGAAGCCCGCTCACTCCCAGCCAAATCAATAAAAGAAATTCTGAAGATACAGAAAATAGTAAAAGGTAAAGTCTTTTATATGAAAAGAAGAAGGTAGATTTTTCTTCTCACTGCCAAGGGAGACAAGAGAAACAAGTACACTTGGAACTTAAATGATTAACAGTGAAAGTATGAAATAAGTAATCCTTGATCAATAACAACAGCATAAGTAATCTGAAAAAAAGAAAACTACATCCTCTGTCACTCACATGTTTTAAGATGCAGTCCAGCATGTACATGGCCAAATCAGAGGGACGCAAAAATCTTTTATCTATAAATTTTGCTATGTACATGTTTTAAATACAACGAATACACATGTATTAAAAAAAATGGGGACCTTCTATAACATGACTTGCCTTTTCTTTATTATGAAAAAAACAAAATGCATTATATCTAAAACAATGCACTAAATATCCCGTTTCATACTCACTTGCCAACTTTGATGTCATCACTGTTGCGTATATCTAACTGAAGAATTGCATGAGAGCGAGATGAATCAGGGTTCACCCCAGTGGCTCCTTTACTCCTGACTGAGTTGCCATATTCCAGAGTCTAGAAGACAATGCAGAAACAGGACTTTTTTACTTTTACAAACAAATTGCTGCTCATAGATATGCACATTAGAAATAATATCACTGAATTTTCAGGAAGTCTAATTAATCAACAGCCTTTTTAAACAAAAGACTTTCTACAGAGTGAGAAAAAATGAAGAAAAATATATGCTCATAAGTTTGCATTTTCAAAAATAAGATTCAGTGTCACAGTTTGACTGTTGTCATGAGTTTTTATTCACATGTATTCATATTTGGAGGACCATTTATAATCGGTAAGGCTAGAAAGGTCCCTAATGTGTACTATGTAAAAAAAACAAAAGCAAACCCATTCATTAAATTACTGGTCCCTACGCATCTTTATATTTGAAAACACAAAATGCATAAGACACGAGCAATCTTTTTAAGCTTTACTAACACTGTAAGATGCAGTGGTTGTGTTACCTGCACTAGTGATGTCACACTTGTTGCCTCTGTTTCTGTCAAGCCAGCAATACAAACTTGACGACTTCCATCTTCCCTTGCATGAAGCCTGAGAACAAAAGGTGAACATTGCAAAGTACAATATAACACGGATAGCTCAAATTCGTCGGGACTGGCCTCGGTAGTTCAAGGGATATCTTACAAAGAGAAAAAAAACCGGGACCACAGGCACAGTTCAGCTGATGCGTGGTTTCGAGTACTTTGTGTTCGACCTATCCATGTTTTACTGTACATTGGAACTCGGATTCAACAAGGTCACCAAGCCTGACCTAAAATCTCATTGAATCTGAGTGTTCGTTATAGCAAACATGAGGTTTTGTGTAGATAATTACAGGCACTGAGCAAGTAATGTATAAAAAGAGAAGTAACAAGTGGTACCTGAAATGCCTGGATATTATGAGCTGTGCAAAAAAACACCAATTCGTTCAAATGCACGCCTGTGTCATCTCGTTGTTTGCCAAAAAGTTGTGTTGCTGTGTAGAGCCTAGCATATGGCAACTTTTGATTTCATAGACCAGCGCACAATTCATTACGTAGATCTATGTCAAAACTAGCTTATCATTGTAATAATGATCAGTTCCCAGAGGGAAAACAGAGACTGACGCATTTGTATCAGCGACGTTCACCACATGGACCGATGGTGCCACCCCACCAACATAGATGCACAGTTACACATGTGCAGGCTAATAATCAGACCCCAACACACGCTAGAGTAGACACATGCGCATGTCAACAATGCATGTGTTAGTATGAAAGAAGGCCACTGATTGGTCACAGGCAATCGGCTAAGTGAATAATGGTTCACGATGCAGGTGCAATGGATGGTTTCTGGGGATAGATAAAGTTCGTTGTGGGAGAAAACTGAGCGAAGTCATATCTGCAGGGCACCCTGGAAGCGGCCTCGTTGAATCAAAGTTTGCTGATTTAACAGTTCGTTGAATCCAGGTTATTTCTTATTGATTTTTAAAAAGACAAAAAAACAGGGAATCCATCTTCTTTTGTTGAATCCGAGTACGGAATCCGAGCTCGTTGAATCCGAGTTCCACTGCATAAGCTTTAGAGAGATATCTGTGCGCGCACATACTCACATCTTGTATGCATGCGCACATACACACACACACACACACACACACACACACACACACACACACACACACACACTCACACACACACACATACACACACACACACACACACACACATGCACACACACACACACACACACACACCAGCAGCAGCAGCAACATCAGCCTAACAGTTACCATAGCCTGCTTTCCAAGACATCAAAATTTCTACTACTGCACAGTCACTGTACAGATTGGCGACTCCCTATCAAAAGAGAATTGGGCGATAAATTGGAAAGTGTAAACAGAATACACAGTTCAATAAAATTGACAGTTCTCATATACTACAATGAATCTGACACAAAGCAGAACTGAGAAGATAAAAACAAAGTGGAAAAAAACCATGGTAAACACAAATACCTGTTCCTCCTGTTTAGCAGATCAAATAGTTGTCCACAGTAGATTTCAAAGAAGCTGACCCACACATGTAACTCACTTCCGTATTTCTCTGACTGTATAATGGAAAAGATGTCCTGACCAGCAAGCAGGTACAGGCCAGGTACATTTTCATTTCCAAGCATTGTATGCGTTTTCCCAGCACCTGTCTGACCATATGCAAAGCAAGTGGCTGTGCCCCTGAAATAAGAACATTTCCCATCAAGTTCATTCACAAAGCATGTTATTAGAATAAATGTTTGAATGCAGAGTGATTTATAACTCTCGCTCCCTCCCTCCCTCTCTCTCCCCCTTTCTCTCTCTGTCTCTCTTCGTCTCTCTGTCTCTCTCTCTATTTCGTCTGTCTCTCTCTGTCTCTCATAATAATAGTTAGTTTAGTTTATGTCTCTCATAATTGCCTTAAACAGCATAATCATTAAAACAGATAACAAAAGACCTTGGCATCTCTTGCACCACCAAAAAAAACCCACAAGCCTTTACTTCTTCTGACACAAAGTGGTTTACTTTTATTGTTAATTGATGGACGACTTACACAGTTCCCTTCAGTCTCAAATAAAGTCCCAAGAAGAACATGAACAATCATCCAGTAAACAGAGGTGGCAAAACATTATAAAATTGTAAAAACCTCTTCAGTGTCATCTATGTAGGCTACATACTCTCTTTTTTCTTGTCAACTTAACTCTATACTGCATAGTAACACGTGTGTTGGTGAAATAACACCTTAGGAGAGTCATAAAAATACCGCCTGTCAAGAGAAAAGCCAGTAAGCCAAACTTACCCATTAAAGATGCAGCTAATCAAAGGTCTTGCAGCTCTGATGTAAACATCCTCATTGGAGCATGACTCATCAAAGACCTCATCAAACACAAATTCATGCTGTGAAGAACAATCAAAGCAAATATGATAAAATTGATGTTACACTGAACAGACTGTCTAAAAAAAAGCAACATAATTTTTAGCTTTGATTGCTGATTCGAGGGTTTATTGAAAATATTACAGTAATGCTTTTAAAACGCATATATTCATGTCAGAAGGAATTGATGCTTCCCAGCATAAATTTCATGAAAAAAAATAACTGAACTTGACAACAAGTGCTCGTTTGAAGGTTTGCCCCTTTACAAAAATTCTCTGTAACAAAACAATGTTTCTCTCTCTCATTCTTTCTCTCTCCCTCCCCCCCCCCCCCCATCTCTTTCTCTCTCTTTTGCTCTCTTTCTCTCTCACTACCCGACCCCCTCTCTCTCTCACTACCCCCCCCCCTCTCTCTCTCTCTCATTCAATCTTAATTTTTATTAAAATTCACACATAACTTAAGCAGAACAACAAACAATCAAAAATAAGCTCACAACAAACAAGCAGCAATGACAGACATTTCTCTAAACACATTTCAGGAAGGTATATCTTTCATTTTTACAGACAATAAAAGCGAGCTAATCCTACCTGTAAAGTATAAGCTTTCAAATCCACTGCCAACTTGGGCTCATTCACAATCAGGGTATTAGTGCTTTCAACAGTAACAACATCATCTTCCTTTCCTCTTTGCTCTCTTCTAGTTAGGGGCCTCTTTCTAACACACACTTTGATTTTTTCATCTCCTAAATGTCTTCCTGACCCACCCCGAGAAGATTTTGAAACTTTTGATGGTGAGCCCAGTTTGTGAACACCATAATTGTAACTTTTCTCTTGAGAATGCTTAATTCGCTCAACAGGTCCTCTTGAAGTAGAAGCTCTAACAGCACTGGGAGAAGTTACATTACGGGGATGAAGTACTGCAGCAGCGCCTCCCATCACCACTGCCTCCTCTTCCTCCCCTGACTCTTCATCCCCCTCATCTTCTGTTTCATCACTACTCTCAGACATGAATTGCAACATGTCTAAATAGGAGGCAGCAGAAAAGTTAGGTACTCTGTCCCGTACAGAAACATCTCTAGATGCTCCAAAACGTTGAGTCCCTGGACTACTCTGCTCAGCAAATGAGTTTCCTCGATTTAATGACTGATTGCGGTTTCTGTTTGGGTTGTGTGAGGTTCCTCTCCCAGAAGAGAAACCTTGATTAGTGTCTGCCTGAGCGGTAGTTGGAGCATTATTTGTCGAAGATGGTGAACTGCTTGACGGAGTGTTATGATTAGGATGATGATGTTGAGGGTTAATATTTCTTCTGGGGAAAATGGGACTGTCAGACAGACCAGAGCTGTGGACTGATTTTATTATGTTGACAAGTTCAATGAGGCGTCGTTTGTCTTCACTAGCTGTGATTCCTAAAGCACAGAATTCTGGCATTCCTAAATTAATAAGTGCCTCTGAGCGAGTGATTCCATTTGCACGAAATGCAGGGTAAAACTGTTCTAGTCTTGCTTCTCGGAGGCATTCATACAAAGTCCCCATGTCAAAGCCTGAAAGATAACAAAAGAAATTAATTCATGTATGCGGTAAATCAAACAGGACAACAGGCCTAATTCTTTTCAATTAATAGTTTTAACAGTTTGTTTGTGTACTTCAACGATTCTGAAACCCGTTGGAGTGAAAAAAGCTTTAAAATTGTTTGCTTTCAATAGACAACTCACAACACTTCTCAAGCTTATGACATATCGTTTAACACTTGGCTGGACAGTCTTGCTGCCTGTGATAAAGGTGCTTCCAATTTTCAAATAAAGCCATCTATCAGGTAGAGACATCCCAAGCTCCATTTTCACATGTAACTGCAAGACATGCAGAGCCTCTTATGATAGCATATTATAGGATGCCCTGGTTAAGCTTAAGATAATTGAAAGCCAAACAATTTCAGGCAAAGACCTTCCCGCCTGTGGTGTTGAACCCAAAAACCTAGCCCTATATTTAAGAAAGCAAGAAAAACATTAAATTTACCAAATTTCCTCACGGTTGCAAGCAGCTATTCTATATTTTGGTTCTTACATCATTCATCACCACCTACAGCAACACAACTTACTTCAGAAACCTCTATACCAATAACATAATAATTATCTTTATCAAGACTTGGGAAGGTTAAACTCCTCCTTAGACTCACAAACCTTATGTTTCAATTATTAGAAATAGAAGAATCCCTTTTTTGTTAAATTTTTCACCCTTTTTCATGGCAAGCTATAAAAAAAATTAAGGAAAGTGAAAAATTTACTGGAATATAATAAATGTTGATTGTGGTCGCGTACATAAGTGACAGTCCTCATAATATCAGTTAATCAAAACAAGATTTTAAAGGATATACCTCCTCAGTTAGACTCAATGAACAGTTAATCATTGTACCTTTCACAACTGTTTGTGAATTATAAATATAGCTTCCCTCTCTAATTGCAAATGATCTTTGTTTCTTGCTTCAGTTTCAATAATTTTTCAGTCTCAAATCCCATATATATAATGACTTAAAATCTGAAAAACAAAAGCAAACTAGTTATAATCAGAGTGAAGGGTGGGGAATCATTTCCATTGTTAAATCTCGACAAAAAGCAAAGGTACGAAAATGAAAACAATAAACCCAAAAAATGCGGTATGAAAATCTCAGTAATATAGATCTATATATAATTATAGTGGCAGTAGATGCTAGATCATTTACAAGATCTATTGCATGGTCTACACCAACACAAAGACCATATTATGAAGTAAATATACCAGATCTATGGTATTGTACATTAAAATAAGATTGAGAGTGTTTAAACACTGCTTTACACCTTTAAGAATAATGGTCATGGATTTTCAGTTCCCTCACAGAATCAACCATCAACAATCATGCCAGAATCTCCTTCGACTCATTTCTCTCTTGTGGCATTGAAACAATACATTAGCTTTTTAGCTTATTTAATTTGTATAGTTCGAAAAAAAAAAAAGATGCTTCACCAAATCCATGAACTTATAGATCTATTAGATCTAGATCTAGATGACATAAAAATTGCAGCCAGATCTAGCTGCTTTTTAAACTATAGACTACAGCTATAGCGCACTGATCGATACCTCTACAGGTAGGGACAAGCTGAAGGGTTTCAGGGCTTAAGCAAATATTTTGATCAAATGCATATTTTTGTGGATCAACTGACTGTATCGTAGATTGTACTGTGTTCACATGTGGTCTTCCTTTCCTGCTTGTATCCGTATTCCAATTCAACACCCAAATAACGTAAATATAATGTAGATATAACATTTAAAAAATCAAAACACTATCATCATGGGAAAACTAGCACTCATTGGAAAACACCAACAAAAAGAATATCAAACATTGAAATGGAATGTTTCAAATTTAGAGAGTGACGTATTGGTAAACTTACTTTACAAGTTCTTTCGCCGAGACCGCTGGCACCATTTCAAGTTTTCAACAATGGTGGCGGTCGGTAACACGTCAAGACTTGCATTGCTCTCTCTTCGTGGATTGGTCATGAGTATAAACAAACACAAGAACATTCCTAATCCCTTCTCAGCTCTTGAAAACACTGATTTTCTAATATCGAACTCTTTGGCAAGAACAGACATTTAATAAAGCAGGTTTGGCAGAGCCAGAAACGAACCTGTAACTTTTTATTATAATTTGTTTACAAAAGGACGCCATTTTGAAATTCCCGCTGCCATGGCATCACCAGTGACGCCGTGCAAGTAAAAAGCCGAATAGAGATCCAATATTAGATTCTATTATTCTCATAATAATGAGACAATAATTGAGATTCTTTGGCCACACAAATAATAGAACAAATGGGCTTGAGAAGTTGCGATTGTTTGGACAGACAGAGGAAAAGAAAAGCAAAGAAAGATGGAGAACAGCATTTACTCAGTTGGCCTTTATGCAAATTTTATGACAAACAACACACACAGAAAAAAACTGAGCTGATCAGGATCTCGAGGACCCACAACGTGGACGGAGAGAATATGCGAGGGTATCACGGTCACCAATGAAGAAGAAGAAGAAGAAGAAGAAGAAGAAGAAGAAGAAGAAGAAGAAGAAGAAGAAGAAGAAGAAGAAGAAGAAGAAGAAGGAGAAGAAGAAGAGGAAGAAGAAGAAGGAGAAGGAGAAGAAGAAGAAGAAGAAGAAAAAGTAGATGTATGAGACGCCCAGATTCGAGTGTGTCCTACATTACTTTTTTTTTTAATAGTGCTACTACCCCCCCCCCCCCCCCCCCACACACACACACACAAACACAAACACATTAAATTATACATATATATATTATTATAATAGGCCTACACGCTTCACATTTTTTCTTATGCAGATATAAGAAGTTATTTTCAATTTTCATCTAATATGCTTTTAATTAGATCTACATACATTCAATAAGATCTACTTTTTATAGTCACAACTTCAAGCTTGTAAATTAATGTAATTCTGTTATAATTGTTTGTATTTTTTTTTTACTATTATTTACTGGTTAAGTACCGTATAAATACGCCAAATACTGCTACCAGATAGAATTATGAAATTTGACAGCAGCGCACAGAATTCTACACTAAGTGTAGAATTCTGTGCAGCAGCGTTTTCTACACAGCGCTACGTCTAAATGAAATTTCAAATGGGTAACAATTAGGAACGGAAATTTTTCTTCTGGTGGGAAATACATTTCAAGTTTTTTTGCTGCCCCAACACGACCATTAAATTTTACATGTTATTTTTCTTATTTCATCCTGAAAAAAAATAGAGAGAAGCAGTGCAAATCCGATATCGCGGCCATCCGCGAAAGAAAAGGAATCCATTACTGTCATCATAGGCATATGCAACGATTTCAAATACTTTCTCATTTCATCATAATATCAAAGCTCTAAACAAATTGCAAATGAGTATTGTTTGCACAATATAGTGGCTAAATATTGTTTTGATCATAATTTTAAAAATGGAGTAGTGATACAGAAAATATATGACCTCACCGGTGAGTTCAAAGTGAGACATTAGAAACAATGCCAGTTGGCACAACAAGAATTTCCTCATGCCAAAATATATAGCTCATAAACTAAATGGAAATGCTGATTTTGATCAGATTATAAAATTGTTATTTTGAAATATTTGGGCAAAAAGTGAAGAATTAAAACCTAATACATATCTATTTATTTGCTGTTCAAGAATGTGTGTAATAGATGTTCCGGAAAACTCCCAGCTATCTGGCACTTGGTCTCATGGTTGATCCTAATGATGTCTGTGTATTTCATGTAGGCCTAGTATTGTACTGGCTTTCTCTATTGGAATCAAAATCAAAAGCTCATTTCGAAAAAAAAAGCAGTGCCTTGTTCTTTGATCGGCATTTTCTTAAATTTCTGCAAAAGTTGTGAATTATAATTGCAAGTGGATTAATTCAGACTCCATTTTTACACATGGCGAGCGGCTCTTTCAGAATCGAACAATGCCTTGTGGAGTGGGGCTAGGTCGGTGCACACAAGCATCGCTCAAATAGCCTTGGCTCGATTTGTTTCACAAAGAAGAACAAGACGTCTGCTTGGTTCAGAGTCTGTCGATTGAAACATCTCTTACAACATATGCAAACGTCTGATTTTTTTAAAAATCGCAAATCACCATTCTGATTGCAATGGAGTGTCCGCACATAGAAGGAAGTGCAAGAATAGCATTTGATTTGTCAAATGTAACGCCGAGCACGGAAAGCCCAATTTTCAAGTGTTCTGGTAGGTGTGCACAACAAACTACAAATTAGAGTCATGTAGATTGGTAGCCTAGCCCAGAAGTCTAGATCTAGATTCTGGGCAAGATCTGGATGTCTAGATCTAGTTTAGATAAAAATCTGTTCTAGATCTAGGTAGGCTATTGTCTGTGGTATGTCTAGATCTAGATCTAGTAGCTAGGTTAGTAAGTTTAAGTGTTGTCTGGAATGTATTTTTCATTTGGCCTATTTCTCCCATTCAATAATAATGTTATGTAAATAAATTGTCTTCTTAGGGCTGGCTTAGGCCTATCCTGTGTTACTAGCCTAGCCTTTATATTATGGAATAGGAATAGGCCTAGATTTAGATCTAGGCTAGGCTACTCTAAAACTTCTACAATCTACAATCAAGACTTTACTTTTACTTTTTAGTCATACCATAACTTATGATACTGATAGTTTCAGTAGATCTCTCTATCATCAGTCTGTCCCTATTCTCTCAGAGTCAAGAGGTTACAAAGTACGCCCATTATTTTCCATCGTGCCCATTATATTCCATCGTATATTGAAAAAAGAAATTATGGCATCTCAGCAGTGACAATGAAATACGAATCTTGAAGCTACAGCGAGCACCTAGCACACATGCTGTGATTGGCCCAAATATCTAGATTAGATCATGAAGTATTTCAGCCATGTATTTTGTCATCTTCCGGGGCCTCCCACAAGACTCTGGGTTTCCCTCGCCAGTAACTATACTATTGACTAGATCTAAATCTACATTTAGATGTGTTTAGGCTTGTTTTTTGTATTAATTTCTGTTATCATTCTTAGCAATTTTCGTTCCATAGATTTACCTTTTCCTCAAGAAAGTGGCTATTCTCACCCGCCCGGAAGTTCTCACAAGATCAACTCCTCCCCTCTTCTCTCTCTCTCTGTCTCTTTCTGAATACTGTCTATCGGTGTGGACGATCAAATTGACCCGGAGTGAGAATAGTGCAGGCGAGTCTTGTGGCTATTCTCACCCGGTGCGCATTCACCAAATTTTGCGTTCACCCTAAACCACAGAATTCTACTCTGTGATAACAGAAAAATTGTAGTATTCTGTGCCGTGAACAAACGTCCCATTACAACTGTAGCCTACTAAAAGCGTACAATTTTGTCTGTGGGCAGTGGAGAGAGAAAGAGAGAGAGGAGTAGCGCGAGAATTTCCGGGCAAAACAAAATGGCGACCCGCGTAGTTCGGCTCGATTCGAAAAGTTAAATAGCCGTAGCATCTTTGTAGACAACCAAATTAATTTACTTTTGTGTTTTAACATCATTTTTTAACTTTGTTTTGGTCAATTTGATCGTCCACACCGATAGACAGTATTCAGAAAGAGACAGAGAGAGAGAGAAGAGGGGAGGAGTTGATCTTGCGAGAACTTCCGGGCGGGTGAGAATAGACACTTTCTTGACCAATACAAAGTTTAAAAATGATGTTAAAACACAAAAGTAAATTAATTTGGTTGTCTACAAAGATGCTACGGCTATTTAACTTTTCGAATCGAGCCGAACTACGCGGGTCGCCATTTTGTTTTGCCTGGAAGTTCTCGCGCTACTCCTCTCTCTCTCTCTCTCTTTCTCTCTCTCTCTCTCTCCACTTCCCACAGACAAAATTGTACGCTTTTAGTAGGCTACAGTTGTAATGGAACGTTTGTTCACGGCACAGAATTCTACAATTTTTCTGTTATCACAGTGTAGAATTCTGTGGTTTAGGGTGAACGCAAAATTTGGTGAACGCGCATCGGGTGAGAATAGCCACAAGACTCGCCGGCACTATTCTCACTCCGGGTGAGAATAGAGGTGGCCATTCCTCAAAGTTGTGCTCACACTCACACACATCACACAAACACGTACGCACACATGATACACATGCGCGCACGCACTCACAGCCATAGTAGTCTGCGATGAATCTTAGTGACATAGCCCATGGCCATGGCGTGGGCTCGCCACGGTGAGATCTATCATTTAGTCAACTGGCGAGGGAAGCCCCGGAAGACGACAAAAATAGATAGTGGAAATACGTCATCTTTGGCGACTTTGGGCCAGTCACAGAGGTGTGCTAGGTGCTCGCTGTTGCTTCCTGTCAATTAAATCAGGCACTCGTCAAAATAATTATCTAGATCTAGATCTATATATTGAAGAAACCAACATTTGCATTTTTCCGCCCATCTGGCAATTTTTACACAAATATAGCCTTTTTTTTTTTTTTTGACTCAACGCCCAGGCCGTCCCATATAATAATAAATATTGCGCATTAAACCTGCAAATCCCCTTTGAATTTTGGAGGTGCGTGAGCGTTACTCTTTAAAATTTCGTTTTGAGGGTTTGCATATGCTACTTTGCCATCATATTTTGGGGAAAATCCAAAGAAACTGGGTCGTAGACATCGCCAATCAGCAGGATGAGACGGCAAAGTGTTAAAACGTAGGTGGTGTGCATCTGGCAGCAGCATTTTCTTTCTTATATCCCAAAGCCAAGTCAATGATTTGACAACAACGCCCACACACAAACACAGTTGACAAGCAGTCACCTTTTATGAAATTGTGTCTGTGTCTGAAATACAGCACTCTGCAGTTCACTGACCACAAAGGCTGTTAACAACAAACTGATAATTTAACATGAAAGCAAGCATTGAGGTATTTTCATTTGATGAAAAGGAAGTGATCCAGGAGTCTTGAGATTTTCACGAGGGAAAAATTGAAAGTCTGAAAAGACTGGAATATGAACACTGAGATGGCTCTGAAGAATAATGAATCAGTTTTTCTTTTTTTTGTGTGTATTACAGTCGGAATTGACACCTTTTGGTTTGTCAACTTTATTTGATTTTTTATTGTGTGCTGCAGACTTCGATCTAGCCTAGCTACACGCAAGTGTAATGTGTCATGCGCAGGCCTACCACATGGCCAAAACCCTGGTTCGTGGGTACTCGTGGCAAAGGAAACTACCTATGAATAAATACTGCTTACTTCCCTTGCATTTCTGATTTAACAGGGATCGGATGTAACAGGACTTTTTGTCTGGTCCCACCATCTCTGTATTTCAGGTTTCTACTGTAGCTGCCCACATGCCTTTAGCATGACAGCCTAGAGCTTAGGGCCAGGGCCCAAACAATCATGAATTTCTTTCGACCACCACTACAGCGGCAACTCCTTATTGACGACAGTGATGCTGTCACTACTTGGAACTCATAAAAATAATATACTCCATTCTAATGATTCCCTTGAGTAAATGTATGAATTACTTTAACATCACAAACCTAGAAAATCCATACACACCATTGCTGGTCACCCTTGTGCTGTGCCCTGTTTTTGAGCTAGGGTTATTGTGTGTAGTTCAAGGACACACCCCAGTGACTGCTGTATAACGGAGGGAGGGGTTTTAGCGATTCGCAAATTGTAAAGAAATCAGCAAATTCAAGTTATTCACGAAATGTTTAAAGGAGCGCGACTGTATCGGAACCAAAATAATTTCCCTGGGAAAATTAAATAGCGAATTTAAAAGGTTCGCAAAAAGCGAAATGGGTGAAATGTGAAAAAACAATTGCATTAAAAGTCTGATGTACAGTACCCGTCAAAACGCTGTATCATTGACATAGAATCTTTTGACATTGTGATGATTATTGTGAGCCTGAGCTCATCGTCCACTCGTGGCCACTGGACTTTTTTCCTCGAAGTATGATATAGCCTTAGCAGCCAGGGCTTTTTTTTTTAGGACCATCTTGAAAATGACTTTACTTGATAATGAGAGAAGTTCTCTCCAATATTGAATGTGTGTACGTCATGGAAAAGACGGTTTGAAATTGGAAAAGAATACTTTACTCTTGCAAGATGTTTTTGTGGATATTTTTCACCAAAGGAAAACGAATTATTTTTTTTATGTACCACAGTAAAAGCATGTCTGATTTCATTTTGTGTACTATTTATTGCAGTTTGTCATACTGAAGAAAGCCCATGGATCTGTTTAACTTGTGGTGAAATAAATTGTGGCAGGTAAGTATTATCTTGTTTCAATGCTTTGCTGTCTGTAGCTTATTGTTTCTGTACAGTGGTCTCTGCAGGCTAAAAGCATGGTCCTTTGGAGGGCTCCTCTAAACCTGTGTTTACACAGGAATTTGTGTTTGACCTGAACCTGGGAAAAGGGACACAACTGTTTCTTTTTCTTAATATTTAGTGACCTCCCCTGAACTGTGTGTGTGTGTGGGGGGGGGGGGTTCCACTTTCACCAATGCAACGAAATGTGTCTGTTTTATGGATTCCTCAATCACGGATGACTACAAAAGAGGTGGAAAAAAGCAATTTTAATGACTGACTCGCTGTGCTAATATGATACACTAACAAGTCGGGATCAGATCACTTGAGGAAACTATTTGTGATAGTCATGGAAGAGTGCTCTGCCACATGGCTTTCCAAGCGACCACCCCTGGCGGCCTGTCATGATGATCATCTATTGCAACCCGGTAAATGCATGGATGATATCAGACATTCTGAGAAATTTTTCTTTTATTATTCATTGAACAAGTACGTTATAAGTTCTTGGAGCATAGCTGATCACTTGACGAATCTTTAATTCTGTAGGCCTATTCTAGTGTTGTGGAGTATTGACGCATATTGGTTTCATCATATTCATAGGTCTTACCAAACATTGGTCACTCAAACATAAGTGAGAAGCCTTCTCTTTAAGACGCATTCATTATGAGTGACCAACCAAAATACATTTCAGTCACACACCCACACACCCCAAACATATTGCTCACCCAGTCCTTGACCTCTCTCTGTGTCTGTGGACAGTATGATGGGTTAACATTCTCCATCACTCTCTTCACCGAATATCTTATGTGTGTTTAGACTTGTCCATGCAAGCTGTGTAGGTTTGTGTAAAAAATTTCTCTTTGTCTAGCTTTACCTGTCTGCTTGTTTGAGGGTTCGAAGCGTGCGTTTAAAGGAAGTAACTGTGCTTTTGTACGTCTAAATTATAAAGTAAAAAACTGCCATATATGACGAACGGTTGTGTTTGATCGGATTGTGCCTTTGTATGGCGCTCCATAAGGCGGAGACTACTGTATTGAAATTATGATTAATAAAACATTACAGTGACCAAGAATTGACAGATATATATTCTTTTGCCCCATCTCCAGATTTGTTTTAAACAACTGGGATTTGTTTCAAGAGTGTATGATGCATGTTCTGTCTTATAATGAGTCGTCTATTGGTTTTTTGCCCAGTGTGAAAAGGAATTATATTCTGATTTTATCTCTATGTGTTTTAGTTTTATACTACATTACCAGTTCAAGTTCAACTTTGCCTAGACCTCTTTCGGGATCAATAAAAATAAGCTTTTGTGTTAACACCTCTTTCTCTCATTCTTGCCAGGTATGTGAAAGGTCATGCCAAGGAACATCATGAAGCTCACAGTGAACTTCATGCTGTCTGTATGGACTGCCAAAATCTCATGGCGTTCTGGTAAGAATACATTATTAATGGTACTGGTACCTTTCAGATGACAGCAGAGATACCATTTGTTACCTAAGATAGGAGTATAGTGAACTTGGGGCAGTAGTTATAGCCCATCATGCCACATGGCTTGGTGGTGTGTAGATATATTTAAAAAGTTGTCCCTGTGTAACCATGCAGCTGTTCAAAATTTTGCTGCAGATGCCATAACCAACCATAAGTGATTAGGCTAAGAACATGAATTACCAAAGTGCCTTTACCGTAACCCTCTCTTTGTCTGTACTATTTCCTTCCAATTGTTTTGCTCTTCCGCAACCTTAAATGGATTTATCATGTTGATGTGCTTCTCTTTGCTCAATGAATTCACTGTTGTTGTACCATGAATTGTCACTGACCGTTTTTGTTTAGTTTCCCTTCTCTGTCTATCACGTTTTGGATTGCCTTTGTCAAAAAGCCTCACTTTTAGTCAGCTATTGCATTTGTATCAAGGCATGCTCAGTTTAATGCTAGATTATAGAAAATGTTCCTGAAAGAATCTTGACTCACTGGCATGTCATGATGTCCACAAGTAATTTTCAATGAGCATAGATTTACATAGCAGTGCTTTTTTTTCCCCCAGTTACAAATGTGATGAGTTCATCATCAACGACACAAGTTTTGGTCATCTTCAAAAATTGCGGCAGCAATACCAGTCCTTAACCCAAGTGACAAACAACAGTGAACCTTGTCCTGAAAGGTATATGAGATTAAAACTGGAATTTTTGCTATGTGATTAAGGTTGTTGAAATGAACTCCAACACTTATATTTTGTTAAGTATCATCTTTACAGTGGTTTAAATATTTGTCAAGTGAACAGGTAATTTTTATTCTCCTCGTTTTGAATGTTTTAAGTTTGTTTGCTGAAATACACTCTTTTTTTTTTTTTCACCCATATCCGAGAAAGCTTTGTGTTTGATCTTAGCTACCTTAAGATCAGGGATGCGGCTTAACACTTTTCCCCCACATAGGATATAGAGGAAAAACCCTTTCCTCCACGCACCACTGAGCAGCAATTCCAGAAAAATGGGGGTAGTTCAGTAAAATGTAGTTTTCTCAGTAATGATTGCACAGATCACCTTCAAATTTTCAGCAGTCTTAGAAAATTGAATTGACATATAGATTTTGAAAAAAAAAATTTTTTTACCACGTAACCAGGGCGGCCATTTTGAATATATAATGAGATATTATATGAAAAAAGGTATAAATGGCTGTTTTGGAGGGGTAAAACATTCAAATCAACAAGGTATATTTCATATATCATGTTACAAAGTTTATTTGGTCACTTGTGAGTGACATGAACCACAGCAACAGAAGTATTTCTGGTTTTTGAGAGTGTCAGAAGAAAATAAAAAAGGTATCGAAACAAGCTAAATCGAAGGCCACTGTCAAAGCACAGGGGTGGTTCAGTTCAATTCAAATTTCTCAAAAACTAATATGGGTATCACCATGAAATTTTACAGGGTGCATCAGAATAGAAGAAGCATTTAGAAAAGGCAAAAAAAAAAAAAAAAAAGTGGAAAAGGCGGCCATTGCAATTATGTAATGAGCAATTATAACACCAAAAAAGCCAAAATATGCTTCTTTGGAAGTAGAATAATACAAAAATCAAAACAGATACCCCCTAAAACACCCTTCAAAGTTGATTTGACCATTTCTAAGTGATATGCACCATAGAAATTGAAGTAATTTCGCATTTTGAGGGAGTCGGAAGGAAATACGGAAACGTACTGAAACAGTCTAAATCGGAGGCTATTTTCACAGCATAGGGTGGTTCAGTAAAATTCAAAGTTCTCAAAAACCAATACATGTATCATCATGAATTTTTACAGGGTACATAAGAATAGACAAAGCATTCAGAAAAAAAAAAAAAAAAAAAATTACGCGGAAAAAGCGGCCATTGTGATTATGTAATGAGCAATTATAACACAAAAAAGGCCAAAATTTGCTTCTTTGGAAGTAGAATAATTTAAAAATCAAAACAGATACCACCTAAAACACCCTTCAAAGTTGATTTGACCATTTCTGAGTGATATGCACCATAGAAATTGAAGTATTTTCGCATTTTGAGGGAGTCGGAAGGAAATACGGAAACGTACTGAAACAGTCTAAATCGGAGGCTATTTTCACAGCATAGGGTGGTTCAGTAAAATTCAAATTTCTCAAAAACTAATACATGTATCATCATGAAATTTTGCAGGGTGCATAATAATTGACAGAGCATTCAGAAAACGGAAAAAAAAAACATATATATGCGGAAAAGGCGGCCATTTTGATTATGTAATGATCAAGTATAACACAAAAAAGCCCAAATTTGCTTTTTTTGGCAGTAGAATAACAAAAAAATCAAAACAGATACCATCTAAAACTTGCTTCAAAATTAATTTGACCATTTGCGAATGATATGAACCATACGCATAGAAGTATTTACGTATTGAGTGAGTCGGAAGGAAAATAGAATCTAAAGGTGCTGAAAGTCTAACTCGGAAGAAATTTCCTCAGCACACAAATTGTTTAGCACAATTCAAATTTTTGCAATACCACGTCTCACACAAAACATGAAACTGTTTTGAGCCCATGAAAATAGAGGAAATATGTAGAAAACACAAGAAATACGAAAAAAAGACAACAACTTTGAATAAAATGTTCCGATTGGGAAAAACGCAAAAATAATATTTCTAAGAAACGGATAGCTTTTGTGTGAAAGTGATCTGCATGAAACAACGAGCAAGATGTAAAAAAATATACCACAGGTTAGAATGACACAATACTGAAAACTATATTATCATGTTAGCTGTTTTGAAGTGCAGTTGTTCTGTTGGCATACACATGCAAATATAGTGTGACATTGACTAGAATTAGCCCAACTCACTCACTGGCGCAAAATAATCCATCAGCACATATGAATTCACACACATAACTGTTCACTGAGTCAGCTGTTGCCTTGCTTCCTTGATATCTTTTGCCGTGTGGTATATTCTGAAGCAGTTGTCAATACAAAGTGCAACATTGCACGTGGGACAATAATGCCGACACTGAGCACGTTTCTTGACGGAAGCGCAGACTTTGCAAACGGGGCGGTGCTTAGGGTCTGCAAATTTTGCTGGGAAATGCCCGAAGGCTGCAGCATTTAGGCGATCGACAGCGTTGTTTGTTTGGTGTCTGTCGTTCTGTCGCCGAATCATGTGAGGCCGAATGAGGGCGTCCACCACAGATTTGCGGAAATCCTTTGCAGATGTCGAATGGCCATCTCGCACCATGAGGATGCAGCCGTTGACCAAAGAAAGGTCTTTCAGGTAGTGGTACAGGGCGTGGTACCATTTATAATTGCGGTGTGGATACGCGTAGTTCTTCATCAGCTGGTCAAAATGGTCCACGCCACCCATGAATGAGTTGTACGTGTCCGCGATGACCGGTTTGTCGACAGACCTGTACCCGCCTGGGGCATCTTTCGCACGAATGCGCTTGTGCACAGTATTGTTAGTATGGACCGTGCTCAGGAGGTTTACACGTTTCGTGTCGTGCCAGGAGACAGCGACCATGTCGTTGGACCTGTAAAACACAGGGTCGTCTCCTTTTTTCAAAATTAGGTTTGCGCGCTTCAGCTCAGCTGGGAAATCACGTCGACTTTCGACAACAGTGCCGACAGCACCAGTCAAAGCACCCTGAAGAGTCGCAAACAACGACGGAGAAGAATAAAAGTTGTCCATGAACAGGACATGCCCTTTGTCCATGTACCGTGCCATAAGAGTAGTTACGAGATGCTCGGTGAAACTCTTGTCCTGAGGAACGACAAAGTGCTCTTTACCAGTATATATCATGAGGTTTAGGGCATAGTAATTACGGGCATCACAAACGACGAACACCTTGAAACCCCTCTTGGTCGGTTTGTCGGGCATAAATTGACGAAAGTGACATCTGCCCTTGAACCGCGCCATGCTCTCGTCAATGCTGATCTCTCGATGAGGGTAGTACACCGCAGACAGCTGCGGAACAAGGAGGTCGAGCAGAGGCTGAATTTTAGCTAGTGGTTTGTAACCATCCTGACCACGAGGAATGTGTGTCTGTATGTCACTCACATGAAAAAAGGCTTGCAACATCTGATACCGGTGGCGGGAGAGGACGTCGCTAAATTTAGTCTCAAACAGCCAGTAGCTGTCCCAGTAGTCCTCCAGACTTTTCTTCGGACTGAAGCCCATGGCTGTGAATTATAAACACGAGAAAAAAAGTGTGAAATTTGGAAATCGCATGTTCAACATAACACTTTTACAATCACTGATCACTTGACAATGTAACAATAAAAAAGACAAACCAATAAAATATATAAAATAATAATAGCACATGTATAGCGCATGAGTCAATGTTCTAACCAAATCGCCACCGACGCCTCGGCGCCCACATAATATATAGATCTATATATAGACACCAAATCTACCCAAGTAAAGTTACAATATTTTAGATCAATATTCCTTCTAAATTATATGCTAACAACAATCAAACGAAATATACCAACCTTCTCTTTTCGCAATGTAAACTAATACTAGACGTCTAGTGTCATAACGACAAACTATAAATATTCATGTCATAAGATTCTATGTCCACTCACACAAACACATGTGACATACACTCTCCCATGTAATCTATGCACAAAAAAATTATAATCATGAACTAGGACTCCAAGCACAAGGACCATGATCAACACTCCTGATTCATAACACAAACAAACGCATAGATTAGATCTAATTTAGTAATATGTCCACTCACACAAACACATGTCACATGTGACATGCACTCTCCCCATGCCCCATGTGATCTAGATCTATAGCCTACAACACAACTCTATACTCATGAACTAGGACAGCCAAGCCCGAGGACCATGATAAGAATACTTGGATGAAAGATTATGACATTCATTCATTCATAGATCTCATGGACTAGATCTAGATCTAATCTAGATCTAACACTACGAATGTAATATAATAAAAACAAAGACTTCGTCTTACCTATTTGCAGTCCTATGAAAGCTCGCATCTCCACCGCATCGGTTTCTTTCCACCGTTCCTTGTAGTAACAGTCGCGAGCGAGTAGACAGTGTCTGGCGTAGGCGTTTGTCTCCCTCACCAGCAAGTTGATGACATCGTCAGTGAAAAACAAGCTGAAGTATTTGACAGCATCAAAGTTGCTGCTGTCAACAACAATGCCTGTAGGTGAAGAGAATGCTGGCATCCATCGTTCTGCTTCGTAGGGATCGCGATCGTCGTAGACTAGCCAGTCAAACTGATGAGCGTGGTTAGCTGTAGGCCTAGATCTACTGGCTTGTTGACGTGCAGCCCCAGGCGTCGGTCTCCTCCTCGCTGTCGTAGTACTAGATCTAGAACTAGAACTAGGCTCATCACAAACAAAAGGAACAGGAGACGAAGACCTACTTGTTTCCTCAGATCCTCCTACAGTGTAACTAATAGTAGAAGCATCGCTAACATCATCAGGAAACTCGTCTCCTGAGTCGTCATCGTGGCGAAAAATAGAGTTGTCACTGGTAGATGCCATCACTTCGATTCACAACACGAGACAAAGCATTCGCACCGTCAATTTTCCCGCAAAAGGCTGAGAAAGGACGCGGAAGGAAGTAGCTTTTGATATTTAGTGCGCATGTCAAAGGGGAGTTCACTATGACTGATAAATAGAATGATTTTGGTTGTTATGCAGTCACTAGGGTACACAACGCCGAAAGGCGTGATGTGGAGTCAAGGGGCTAAACCGGAAGCTCGCCGATCGGCGTGAAGTGGAGGCTAAGTGTTAAAGACAGTAACAAGAATGAATGAGACAATAATTATGTGTTGAACTTTAATGATAGATGTGGTTTTAATCGATGGTAATGTATTTCTTTGTAGTGACCAGAATGTACCTAAAGGCAAAGTTCATCGTCGAGATTCTTCAGACTCATTGGAGAATGACAGAGATCACAAGAGACGGAAAAGGGTTTGTGTTGCATCTTTTTTAAAAAATTTACAAGCCTCTCGACTTTATGAAGCAGTGGAATTTTTAAGTCCTGCATGGCATGGAGGGAAAAGATTCTGTTCACTGTTCATATGCTCCAATTTAAAGAATTGTGACCATGCTTTTGACTCTTAACCCTTCCAGCCCCGTGCACGTATATTTTCAGCAGCACTTGTACCTCCCACCATCCGAAGAGCATATATTCTGAATCGGGGGGTACCGTATTTGTGCATTTTTCAAAATTAGCGAACCTAATTAAACTTTAATTGGCATAATATTTGTTTACTTACAGTCGAACCTGCCATGACGGCCAGACGCCCAGCTGTACAAATGGCCACTTTCTATTTCTCCCCCCCTTACGTTTTTACTATATAATTTCACTGTGTAAAACGGCCACCTGTCCAACGTGGCCACGGCCACTATATTTGAACATACATCCCCTATTACTCCAAACAATAACACCTTTCTTAGATGGCCACCTTAGTGACTCCATTACGTTTTGTCCTAATGACTCATTGGCCCCTGGTGTTGTGGGCGAGCCGTCATAATCCAATCACCTGTCGTTGTTGTTAGGTAGTTCCCTCCAACCGATCGTGTTGGCCCCTCCCACTGTTGACCAATAGATAACAAATTTTAAGCTGCTGGCGAGGTAAGCGTGTGATCCCTCATAACCCATAAGCCTCACCCAGAACACAAATTGTCAGTGAGATGAGTGGTCACTGTGTACCCAGTCTGTAACAATGGACGCCAACATGAACTTGCAATAGGAGCGTCACTCATTCTCCGGGTCAAGTGGTGGCGACCCATGTGTTTATTTTACCATGGCACTCTGCCTTACTTGTCTGACACGATTCGTTTTAGTGTCACCCTTGCTCAAAATAAGCAACAAAATATAAAAGCAAACAAGAAACAAACCAACGAAAACAGCAGCAACGACAACAATGCTACAACCTTCAGTTGGGACCTCAGAGGGAAATGGTTTGTTCTCTTCATCTTGAAGATGGCCACTTTTCTTCCTGCCAATGGGTAGCCGTCTTACACAGGTTCGACTGTACCTCTAAACATTGTTTTATGTTATTATCTAAACATCATTACAAAGATACTACATCACTTTTTAGAATACATGCCTCTTTTTCTAAAATACTCCTGTACTGGCCTATTGGCTGGGACTGAGGTTAGAGAGTGCACAAAAATGGCTGGAAGGGTTAATAATGTTATGTTGCTCATAGGTTATCGTTATCGCTAATTTGTCAGGGAAAAAATTGTATAATGTGGGAGCAGTATAGAACAATTAAATCGCGATCACACTTCACACCACTCTTATTCTTATTGGAAGAGCTTGAATTAAAAATTTACTTTCAGGCTCAGCATTTGATATTGAAGTGTGGGGTACTTGTTGCTGTCTTAAGTTTTGTTTGTTTTTTCTGGATTCTTTTTTTTTTCACTCGTTCCTCAGTGATGACATTTAAATGTAATGAAACGAAACTCAAGTTTTTTCTCTTTTCTTCAATATTTTTAATAAGTTTTATCTTCTATTTTTAAGGATAATAAGCAACGCAGACCAAAGGCTTCAGGGCTTAGAAATTTGGGAAATACATGCTTCATGAATGCTGTATTACAGTCATTAAGGTAAGTTAACATGTTTTTCTATCTTGTCTTTCCATATTTTTTTCAATCTTGGTATGCAACATGTGTATCCGCAACTTTTTGAGGCGTCATGGAAATATTGCTTGTTGGAGTTGGTTGATTGCTTATTTACTTCTCGAAGAATGGGGTCATCTTTCAGATTTTTCTGTTTTAAGCTTATGAAGTATGGTTTTGCTTCTGGCAGAGTTTACTCTTTGCAAGCTGTATGGTTATTCGTACATTTAAATTTTTAATGAAGCTAAAAGTACTAATTTCATTTTCAGTGTAGCCTTGGCTTCCCAGCTGACCCGTATGTATACATGAGTCATTTAGGAAGGGCGCTGTCTCAGTGCTTAGAGGCTGAAGTTCTGAATGATCAGGTTTTGTTTCACTGTAAACTGTTTCTAACAGGGTCTAGTAGAATTTTTAGTAATGGCTTTGGTTTCCCTAGTGCTAAAGCCTTGTAAGTTTAAGATAAAGGCTTTTTGGTACTCCTGTAAATGTATGATATTTTATTTTAATGGGGGGGAGGGGTGTCTGTGGACAAAATTATCATTTGTGACATTTTTCAGCAATATACAAGAGTTCTGTGGCTACATCAAACAACTACCATCATTAGACGACAAAATACTCAAAGCCAAGAAAGTTCACATCGCTCGAAAGGCAAAGGATTCTGGCGAAGATGTGTAAGTGTTTTGGTGTTTTTTAAATATATTTTTTTAAATCATAATCTTTTCATGATGGAGTTGGAGCTTTTCTCGTTCAGACTGGAAAGATTGTCCTTTGAGCAGTTTTATATATTTAAAAATCTATTTTTGTGCTCATAAAGCTACTATTTGGGCACCAGGTGTAGAACTATTGTGTTACACTGTGTATTTTTTTAAGTTTCTCACTTTTCTGCTTTTTGTTAGCTGTGAAAAACTTATCTTTTTCATTAACATTTTTTTCCGTTAAAATGTATTAAAATTTTCTCACTGTGTTGTCTAAAATTATTTTGTTTCTTTCATTGTTTACAGGCTGTTGGTCGAAGAACTGAGGAAAACTCTTGTTGCACTCTGGCAAGGAACAAAAGGAGCTATTTCTCCAGAATCTCTTTTCACTGTAGTTTGGAAAGTTGTCCCTAGATTTAGGTAAATACATAATTCTGTTGAAATGTAATGCTTTTTTTTAAGTATTTGGGTTTGCTTTGTTAAAACTACTTTTGTTGCTGTGTAATATATTGTATATTCTAAACTCTGTATCAACCAGCCTTTCAATTTTAAAAATCATCTTTTGTAACTTTTTTTTCATATTTGTGGGTTGAATGTTTTTATGTCAAAACTCTTCTGCTTTAAAAAAAAGATTTCTGTCTTTTAGAAATAAGTGAAGAAACAGCAACTGAAATTCCTATCAATTTGAGCTTATTTTTATGCTTGTATGTGTATGTATGTATGTATGAGGGGCAGGGGTGTCTATTTTCCATATGAAACTGATACTTTGTGCCATTGGGGGCTAAGCAGGTGCTGGACAGTGAGATTGGGGATGTATTTCAGTTTCTGTAATGTCAAAGAGACTTGTGTACTGCTTTAATGCAGGTAACTCCAGTGAACTTACATAGGACATGCAGTTTAGTAGTAATACAAAGGAAAGAGATGACAGTCCATACATTTCTAGCATTTGTGATTATGTAACAGCAGTGTGCTACTCTTGTCATTTCGATTTTTACTACATCAGATACCCATGCATTCGCAGTAGTAGTTGTGTGTGCAAGCGTGCGAATAAATGTAATTTTTATAGACTTTGGCTCATTTTGGTCCCTCTTCACTTACAGTGAATCTAATGCTTTTGATTGTCACCTTAACTGCTTTCATAAAATTTTCTTTTGCATGTTAGATGTGATATACTGATATGTGGAGTTGATTTTCTTTTATCTGGGGTCAAGGTTACAAGTTCCTATATCAGTGGAACCTCTTTTAGAATATAATATTGACCTTTTTTCCGAAGTAGCGTCTACTTTTTTGTTACGGTTCTAAATTGCTTTTTATTTTTTTGTTCACAGGGGCTACCAGCAGCAGGATGCCCATGAATTCATGCGTTACCTCTTGGACAGACTTCACATTGAGCTGTTAGAATTGTTACCTTATCCAAATAACAATTCCCCGTACATCGGCCCAAAGGGCAAGAGCACTATTGTCACTGCTATCTTTGGTGGTCTGCTTCAGAGTGAAGTCCACTGTCTTATATGTGGTGTCGAGTCAAAAAAGCATGATCCTTTCTTAGGTAAGTTGTTAAATTTATGTGTGCTTGAAATGGATTCTATTTTATTATATCTATCATGCCCATAGTGGATGTCATCAAGCAGCAAAAATTGCTCTATAGTGGAAATTAGTTCAAATCATAATTTATATCCAATCTGAGGCGTGTGGGCTGGCAAACCCAACCTGCGCAGTAGCAAAGAGGGAGGGGGGTTGTGATCAATTTCCTTACTCTAGACCAGATACCTGCACTGTCAGACAAAAGTTTTGAGTTTTTAAATTCTGAAGTGAAACATCTAGTAGGGCTAGTGTTGAATCGACCTGAGCCATTGTTTTGCTTGCATTCCCCAGATCTGTCATTAGATATTCCTGCTCAATTTTCAAGTCGCCTCACGAAACCAAAGGAAGGAGAGCCCATTTGTACATTGTCAGGTAGGGAAATGTTCTTGTCATTATTTCATTGGCTTGTTATAATCACAGGTGTTGTGATCACATGGCAGGGTGGGTTTTTTTTAATTTGTTTGTTGTGATTTTTTGTTGCCATTTGGGGGCGTAGCTTTGCTCTGTATTCATTGTAAAAGCCTTCAATTTTGTCATAAACAGCTGAAGAGCTCTTCTAGTTGATATTTCTGCAGCCCATTTGTCGCTTGTGGCTGTTTTATTTGAATTTTTTTGTGACTTGCCATCGGCTTCAACTAATACTGTGTGATGACAGTAATGATTTGGAGCTGGTGTAGATGGATATAGATGCAGATGAATAGATAGATATGCACTTGGACATGTCTTAGAGGATCGCCCATTGTTGAGGGGAAAAGTTAGATATACAGTTGGACATGTCTTAAACGGTCGCCCATTGTTGAGGAGAAAAGTTATCTTAGATGGGTTGTCTGTTGT